TTCCATCCACATCTTCTCCATCCTCCTTTCCTCTTCTCTTCTCCCTTCCCACCTTCTGACTTTATTCCAGCCACATTATTTACTAGCTTTTCCCTTAGGACGCTGGTGTCCTTCTTTTGGGCCTTGGAGAGGTTATTCCCATTATCTGGAATGCTTTTTCCTCACATATCTGACTCAGCTGCCTCCTGCTACACTGTTCAAATTCCACCTTCCCAGGAAGACTTATCCCCTTCTACTGTTGAACTGGAAAGCCTTGTTTCTCTGCCCACAAGGTCAGTTCCCCATACACTGCTTGATCTCTATTGCATTTGTTCCTAGGCTTCCCTGGCGGCCCAGCCAGTGAAGAATCCACCTGCAATGCAGGAGACCTGGTCCAATATCTGGGTCAGGAGGATCCCCTGGAGAAGGAAATGGCAACCCATTCCAGTATTCTCGCCTGGGAAATCCTGTGGACAGAGGAGCCTACAGGTGGGCTACAGTCCCTGCGGTTGCAAAGAGTCTGACACGACTTAGCAACTAAACCACAGCACCAACTTGCCAGATAATTTACACTGATTTCTGTTCTCCCCTCTGACTAGAGGATAGGCTGCAGAGAGTCAGGAGTTTTGCATTTATTGAACCTACTGGACACCCAGCAGAACTCTAGGGTCTGCAAGAATTGGACACAGTTATAACTCGTATGTTTGGTATTTTAGCAGCCTATCTCAGAGTCAAGCCAGTTATTGAAGAGAATCTTTTCTGATACTTTAAGCAGTATGATAAACTTGAAGTAAACTTAAATTTTCAACAATTACAGAGCAGGCATGGACTCTTCCTTTGTTTCTCCAGACACATGAACCTGGATATAAAATCCATCCTCTCTGGGTGAAGTGGAAACATACAAAGATGACTGGCCTAAGTTTCAATTGGATAAAAAGATGCACAAAAGAGACATGTAAACATTTTCAAAAACGAAAACCATAAAGTGTGTTTCCTCTTCACACATCTAGCCTCTAGTGTGGTTACAGTGGTGCAGGGGGAGAGAGACATAGAGAAGTAAGGATGAGTTGCCCCGTCTCTCCCTCCTCTGGACCTTAGTTCTCCCTGGACTGTCACTCCTTACACTCAAAGCAGATTTCAGAAGTCAGCACACATGGTCATCATGTATGCCTAACTCCACAACCCAGTCACTGGGACCCAGAAAATTTTGCAACCTTAAGTCTGCCTCAACACATCATGACTCATATATATCAATGAGTAAAGACACATAAACAGTAGTAGATTAACAAGAATGAGTTTTTACTTATATATAAATTACATATATACATATTTGTACATAAAGGTGGGAAAGATAAGGGTCCATTGAGGCAAATGGGTAGGGGGAGAGGACGCAGCTAAAGACAGCAGTAGAACTTGCCAGTTCCAAGTGTAGGGAACATAGCCAGAAGTTTGGGTCGGCCAAGTTTACTGTCAAACCAGGGATGGCATAGTGGATGATACATGCAGGTTATTTTCCATCTTTCAGATGGGACTTCTCAATTCTGGTATGTAGTTCTGAACTGGGTTCATATGCTTCTCACCCTGCCACACACACACCCACATTCCTCACCCATGCACATACCACACACACCTACTCGTGCACACCGCTGAGAGTGTGGTCCTTTGGCTCATTGGAGGAAGAAAGCAGGTTAACAGTTTCACTTAAATGGGCAGAGTCGTTTTCCAGCAAAGCCCATTCATCGTTGCACAGAATCTGCGGAACAAGATATGCTCTTTATTCATTGAGTTTCTTCACAGAAGAAAGAAGTGCTCCAGTGAAATCCTGGGCAGGTGATGAAAGTAACAGACCCAGAGCACAGACGCAGCTTCCCTGACCAGGAGCCGCTAAACACAACATTGTGCTCCTCCAAAGTCAGAGGTGTGCCCTGAGTTGGGGTCCCAGGAGTTCTGAGTACAGACGTTCCTCTCTAAATATATATGGTGCTATCCCCTATCGCACTACGTGGGTTTGGGCTGGGGAGGCCTGGGTGCTTTGTATGAATGGAACACCAGAAGTGTACCCAGTCACAGCGGGCGAGGTGCTGGCCCCCATCACCCGCTCTGTGCTTTGCACATATGAGTTCCGAGCCCAGTGGCAGGTGCTGACACTGGGGCCTCCCATCCTAGATGAGATGTGGCTCCTTCCATGTGTTCACCTGCCGGGGTCCAGCCCCAGCAGGATCCAGGGGAACCCTCAGGATGAACGGCGTCGGCGAATGAGAGAGAGAGTGAGACAAAGCTCGGGGCTAAGTCTGAAGTTTATTTTTGCACGGCTCCTTTATACCCTTAACAACATCTTTGGGGGAAGTGCATATTGCTTACACACAGGTCATCTCAAAACATTACAGCAACTTGACCTTCAACAGAAACTGGATGTCACCCACATACTTTTTCGTTCACAAGAGTCTTTCTTATCATTTGGCCTTCAGGCCTGCTAACATTTTATGGCTTGCACCTGGTGTGACTTAAGCAACTTCAGTAGCCGACCCTGTTTTTCTTATAATTAATCTATTTTCTTTCTAATAAGCGTCATCTCTATGGGAACTAGATAGGATTACATTTTTACAGAACAGAAATGCGAAGGACTGCAGAAACAGCAGATATGGCACAAAACAGGCTCTTAGTCTAAAAGTTAACTACCTGCAAGAAGTCGCCAGCTAATCTCTATCTAAAGTATTTTCTATTAGGCACATTTGTGGCTATCATATTTGTGGAGCTTTTCTCACCCCGTGAAGGGGCCTATGCTTAATAGTTTCTTTTGTTAGCGTACTGTGCTTAGGATGTTTAGAACAATCATGAGCATTTTGTGCAATGAGAGCACACATTTATCAAACAAGCCAGAATGCCAGCAAAAGGGTTTGAATTGAAGCATTTCCTTCATCCCTGGCCCCTTCATAGGGTACCAGCGTCCAGGAGATTTATTAATTAGGGTTTTAAGTTGGTCTTTATTCAGTGAAAGAGGAGCAGGAGAGCTCTCGGCAGGCAACACAAGAATCCGCAGCAGGGCAAACAAGAACAACAGCAGAAAAGGGGGGAGGATACAGGGTGGGGTAGAGGCCGAGGCCAACCTGGAGGGTCCCTTATCCTAGATGGCCTTGCCTGTCAGGTTTTTTCCTCGTGACCTCGTCATGGATGGGGTCCTGGACAGCCTTGCCTGCCCAGTATTTTCTTCATGACCTCGTCACAGGCGGGACCTCCCATAACGGCTCCCGGCATTCACCCATGGTGTATTGGCCAGGTGGGTCCCAGTTGTACTGATGCGAAGTGTGGATACCAGGTCCTCCATTCCTGGGAATGATGACGTTCCCTCCTATACCACCACCACTTGGATCTTGGACAGGTGGACCCCTTGTGTTTGGAAATAAGGTGGAATTTCTAGTGGGTTTCAAGCCAGGGGTGGGTCTCACACTTGCAAATCCAATGCATGCAGTGTTGTTCTGGTGAAAAGTTGAAATTGACTTGTCCCTTGACACAAATTTCTTCTTCATGGTGATGGGATTTGTAACTGTAGATTTTCTACACTCGTGTGGGTCCTGGGTGCAGTGATGGGAAGTGGTCACACCCCGACATCTAACCATAAGGATGGTGGTGTCCCCTGCCATGACTCTGCCACTTGGACTTGGCTCCCGGAGACCCCAGGCATCTGGATTCAAGTTGGAACCAGACATGTGCCCGGATGCTGGGACGGTGCCTTGCCCTTGCCACTGCAGCAGGCACGCTGCAATGAGATGACCCCAAGGTGATCTGGCCACAGTAGGAACACAGGTGGTGCTGGGTGTCCCACGCAGTTACGTCCAAAAGTTAGGTGGGCCAGATGCTTCTGAATAAGTGAGGCCTAGGGCATTCACACCAACCCAAAACTCCCACCAGCCATAGAGGCTGCAGGTCCCATCCACAGTGGGCCTGATGTGGTACTAGCAGACAGCAAGCTACTGTCTCCAGTACTGGGCACTGTGGTATCCACTCCAAAACCAGAAGTAGCAGATACATCCCTGGGGAAAATACCTGAGCTGTAGACAAAGGCCAGGTGCATGTTGATGGTGGTGGTGGAAGACAGGGCATCTGGTAAACCTGAATCCATTATCCTTCCTCTGGGTAGCTGGACTGCAGAAGAGGTTAGCTTTTTATCTTGTGCTGGGGCTAATGGCTTTCCCAGTGGAATAGACTTGTTAGGGTTCTTCCTATTGTTGGCCCCAGATGTGGGCTGAATGGTGAGTTCTGGGCCCAAGCTTCTGGGTTTCAAGCTTCACTTGAAGCTGTTGATCAACTCCACAGGTAAATAAGTCAAGGCTTGGGTCCAGGCATTGCTGCCACTGGGTGCTGTGTTCTCAGAACCAGGAACAGCCGTGTGATATGAGTAATGGTTCTCCTTGGAGTCAGAGGTAGACTGGAAAGTAAAGTCTGAGGAGGAGGTGCATGCGTAGCATTGATGTCAAAGACTGGTTTGACATCTGTAGAGATGCTGACTGCTGAAGCATAGATAACTGCCGAAGCCATAGATGGGCGTTTGGGGAAAACCGGAGCTGAAGCCATAGGTGGGCGTTTGGGGAAAACCGGAGCTGGAGCCATAGGTGGGGGGCTGGGGGAGGCAGGACCTAAAGCCATAATTTGGGGACTGAGGGAAACAGCCAACGCCCTAGAGAGGGGCCATGGAAGACAGGACCAAAAGCTGTAGATGGGGGCTAGGGGAGATAGTGGACGGAACCCTAGATGGAGGGGTGGGGAAGACACTGGCTGGAGTCCTACATAGTGGGGCCGGGGAAGACAGGACCCAAGGCTGTAGATGGGGGCCCAAGGGAGACACCAGCCGGAGTCCCAGGTGGGGGCCCAGGGAAGGCAGCAGCCTGATTCCCAGGTGGGGGCCCAGGGAAAGCGGCAGCAGGAGCGCCAGATGAGGGCCCGGGAAAGGCGGCAGCCTGATACCCAGGTGGGGGCCCGGGGAAGGCGGCAGCCTGATACCCAAGTGGGGGCCCAGGGAAGACGGCAACCGAGGCCCCAGATGAGGGCCCGGGACAGGCGGCAGGCTGATTCCCAGGTGGGCACCCAGGGAAGGCAGCAGCCTGATTCCCAGGTGGTGGCCTGGGGAGGATGGCAGCTGGAGCCCCAGGTGAGGACCCGGGAAAGGCGGCAGCCTGATCCCCAGGTGGGGGCCTGGGGAAGACGGCAGCCGGAGCCCCAGATGGGGGCCCGGGAAAAACAGAGGCTCTCTGCTGCCCATCATTGGCTGCAAATGTGGGGTGAGGGTTGGTTTGGGTATGAAAGGCATAGTTAAAAATTGAAGCGCGGCAGGAGACCATCGGCACAAATGGGCTGGTGCTGTCTGGTCTCCCTGCAGTGTGTGTCTGCTCCACCCCAATACCTGGGGGAGACTGAAAAGTTACAGCTTGCAAAGGGGGGGGTAGTGTCCATGTCAGTGATGTCCTGATCTGAAGGAGACCGGAAGTTTACACTTGCAGATGCTATGACTGTGGTGGCAAAAGGGACCACGTGGAAGTGATGGGCTGCTCAGTTGGAGCAGGGGGAGCGATGGGACGGTCTGGAAGAGGGGTGAGTAAGGGAGGCGCAGAATCTACACACACGGGTGTTGGGGATTCACTTTTGTAGGAGGGTGGCTGGAAGGGGAGGGTTGGGGTGCTCAGAGGTGTGGAGAGGTCAGCAGTCAAAGGTGGTGTTGCTCTGACTGAACTCGGAGTGCCTGCATCCCCCTTGAGGGTAGTTCCCACAATGGGACTGAAAACTGAGGGACGTGAATCTGCAGGAATGGCAGAATGAGAGTCCACGGGGGCTGTGTGTCTTGCCACCCGATCCATATAAGGTGTCAGGCAAGGTGGAAGGCCAGCCAGACTGGGGAATCTGGAGGACAGGTCGGCCAAGTCGGTGGTGGTAGGAGGGACCTGCAACATGTGACTGATGGGAGGCAGGGAGCCTGTGGTCCCTGGGGCAGGCGGGGTGGCCCTGCGGTGTCGCATGTCCTTCCTTGCATCCTTCAGGATTCTGTTCCGCTAACGGTCCATGTTTTGTTTCCGGGTGCGCCGGGTTTTGGCGCGAGTCATGCCTGGAAGCTTTGGGGGCGGGGGAAGGTCACTGCGACCCCAGGGCAACGGCAGCGGGGGCGGCAGTGGCGGCAGCGGGGGCAGCAGTGGCGGCAGTGGCAGAGAAAGCGGCGGGGGCATCGTCCTCTTGCGGGGGCGCCCACTGCCGGCAGCTCCCAGGGGAGAGGAGCTTTTCCGCGGGGTGTCTGAAGGTGGCTCACGCTGCAGCGCCTTCCCGGACGTCAGTGACTCTGGGGAGCCGGGTTGGTGGTCTTCACCCAGCACCACTTCTACTGGCCTCTCGGGCAGCAGGCTGCAGCACGGACTTGGGGCAGAGAGCACCGTGGCCAGGGGGCCGGGCTGCGAGGGAGGCCGGCCGTCTCCAGCAGTGCCGTCTGAGCAGATGGCGGGGCTTTGGGAGGAAGGCTTCGTCTGAGACACCTGCACTTTCTCACTGAAGTTGCCTCCTGGGTGCCCCGGAAGGAGGTTTGGAGGCTCGGGACTGCACTGGAGGGGCGGGAGGAGCCCGCCGGCCTCCTGGGGCCTAGGTGTCATTGTCATAGCCCCGCTGCGGTCCGGACTCATCTTTCCGTTGTCCTCTCCTTCGGCCTCTGTGTGACCTTCCTCCTCTGTCATGCCTTCCCTGCGCTCTTCCTGGACCATCGCCTTACTCTCCTTTGCGCAAGGAAGTGGGCGGTGACTGGTTGGTACCGGCCTCCCAGCCTTGGCTACCTGAAGAGGTGGCTCAGGGAGTGAACGCAGGAGAGTAATTTTGCACCCCAGTGGAGGAATTCTGATGGTTCTCGAAGGTCCGAATATCATGGAATTACGAGTGGACAGGACGGGCTGCTGCTTCGGCCTGTAAAAGCCGGATGATGAGGGCACTCGGTCCTGGTTGAGCAGCCTGCGACCAGGTTGTAAAGCAGGAGCTGGGGCGGCGGGGTGACCCCGGCCAGATGTGGTGGCACCCCGAGGGCGCAGAACCAGCGAGCGCCGGCCCCGCGGGCGCCGGCAGCAGACGCGGCAAGAAGTTTACACAGTAAATTGCCCATATAGGACAGATTGCGTGTCAACTAACTCGAGAATAGAATGTGAAACTGGGAGGGCGTCTCCCTCGCTTCTCACTCCTCTCCTAGTCGTCCACGCACTGGAGGGAGGAGGACTCAGCCTGGCCTTTGTGACACGTCCATGGTGTACGCATCACAGAGACATTGTGCTGTGCGGGCACCTGGCAAACTCTGGGGCAAAGGGCGGGGCCCAGCGCATGACCCCTCCCGGACTCTCTAGCCCCTGAGACCTCCCACTGTGGGTGGCAGGTGTTTGGCACCAGATGGGCCGCCATGCAGAGACTGTCCAGGGCCATGGGGGCCGCCTCCTCCAGAGCTCATCCTATCTAGCACCTCATCATGCAGCCCCCTTGGTGCCTGCGTGTGTATCGGCCGGCCCTTCCCTGCCTGGGTCTCAGAGACCTGTGTAAAGCTGACTGCAGGAGCCACTCACCCTGCCGGGGGGTGGCCCAGCACCTGTGGGGGCCTCCCCAGCTCCTCTGCGAGACCAGGAGCCAGGAGCACCTTCTCCGCTGCGGCTCCTCTGGCATCATCGCCAGCCGGGATGCAGAGCCCTCACCTGGCCAGGTGCTGCACCCACCACGTCCTTTCCCGGCAGGCGAGGCTCTTTCTTCACTTCTTTTCAGAAATTTGGTGCAACAGTTAAATCTTAGACTGTTCTTCAGGGTGTGCAGATGGTAATGGCTTAGCCAGGATGTGAACCAAACCTGCTCTGGGCTGTGGTGCCTCCCCGCCATCCATGCTTCACGTGTCACTGTTCTTTTCTTGTACTCCTTATGGCACTTAGCCCTAAGTGTCACACCTGTAATGAGTCTATATCCTTCCCCGTAGGTTTGCTTTTGCTCAATTCATGAACTGATCACCTACTGCGCTGGGTTCTGGTCTCAGAAGATGCAGGTTAAGGAGTGCCCTAGTGGCAGAGGTTAGGTGATTAATGGCTTCAGTCGGAAAAACCCATTTAGAGTAGCTTTTATATAACTTCTGACAACCAGAAAATTCTTTTTTATTTTTTATTTGTAGTTGCTCTATAACATTATATACGTTACAGGTGCATTATAAGGTGAGTCACAATTTTTAAAGGTTGTACTCCAGTTATCAGTTCAGCTCAGTTCAGTCGCTGAGTCATGCCCAACTCTTCGCAACCCCACAGACTGCAGCATGCCAGGCTTCCCTGTCCGTAACCATCTCCCAGAGCTTGCTCAAACTCATGTCCATCGAGTTGGTGATGCCATCCAACCATTTCGTCCTCTGTCATCCCCTTTTCCTCCTGCCTTCAATCTTTCCAACCATCAGGGTCTTTTCTAATGAGTCTGCTCTTGGCATCAGGTGGCCAAGGTATTGGAATTTCAGCTTCAGCATCAGTCCTGCCAGTGAATATTCAGGACTGATTTCCTTCAGGAAGGACTGGTTGGATCTCCTTGCAGTCCAAGGGACTCTCAAGAGTCTTCTCCAACTGTACAGTTAAAAGCATCAATTCTTCAGCACTCAGCTTTCTTTATAGTCCAACTCTCACATCCATATGTGACTACTGGAAAAACAATAGCTTTGACTAGATGGACCTTTGTTGGCAAAGTAATGTCTCTGCTTTTTAATATGCTGTCTAGGTTTGTCATAGCTTTTCTTCTAAGCAGTAAGCTTTTTTTAAATTTCATGGTTGCAGTCACCATCTGCAGTGATTTTGGAGCCCAAGAAAGTGAAACATCTCACTGTCACTGTTTCCATTGTTTCCCCATCTATTTGCCATGAAGTGATGGGACCAGATGCCATGATCATCATTTTTTGAATGTTGAGTTTTAAGCCAGCTTTTTTACTCTCCTCTTCCACTTTCATCAAAAGGCTCTTTAGTTCCTCTTCACTTTCTACCATACGGGTTGTGCCATTTGCACATCTGAGGTTTTGATATCTCTCCTGGCAGTCTTGATTCCAGTTTGTGCTACATCCAACCTGGCATTTTGCATGATATACTCTGCATATAGGTTAAATAAGCAGGGTGGCCTTGATGTACTCCTTTCCCAATTCGGAACCAGTCTGTTGTTCCATGTCCAATTATAACTATTGCATCTTGACCTGCATATAGATTTCTCAGGAAGCAGGTATGGTGGTCTGGTATTCCCAGCTCTTTAGGAATTTTCCATAGTTTATTGTAATCCATAAAGTCAAAGCCTTTAGTCGATGAAGCGAAAGTAGCTGTTTTTTTCTTGAATTCTCTTGCTTTTTTCATATGATCCAGTGGATGTTAGCAATTTGATCTCTGGTTCCTCTGTCTCTTCTAAATCCAGCTTGGACCTCTGGAAGTTCTTGGTTCATGTACTGTTGAAGCCTAGCTTGGAGAATTTTGAGCATTGCATTGCTAGCATGTGAGATTAGTGCAGTTGTGTAGTAGTTTGAACATCCTTTGGCATTGCCTTTCTTTGTTATTGGAATGAAAACTGACCCCTTTTCCAGTCTTGTGGGCACTGCTGAGTTTTCCCAATTTGCTGGCATATTAAGTGCAGCACTTTAACGGCATCATCTTTAGGATTTGAAATAGCTCAGCTGGAATTCCATCACCTCCAATATCTTTGTTCATAGTAAATTTTAGCTATATTTTCCATGTTGTAGAGTATATTCTTAAATATTCTTAAGGTTAATTTTATGCTTACTAGGTTGTATCTCTTAATCTCCTACCCCTATATTGCTCCTTCTCCTTTCCCTTTCTTCACTAGTAACTACTAGTTTATTCTCTACATCTGTGATTCTGTTTTTTCTTTTTGTTGTTATATTCAGTAGTTTCTTTTATTTTTAGATTCCGCTAAAAGTGATATCATGCATATTTGTCTTTCTCTGTCTGACTTCTTTCACTTAGCCAAGTCCGTCCATGTTACTGCAGATGTCAAAATTTCATTATTTTTTATGGTTGTGTGTTAGTCGTTCAGTCGTTCCAACTCTGCAACCCCCATGGACTGTGGCCCACCAGGCTCCTCTGTCCATGGGATTCTCTAGGCAAGAATACTGGATTGGGTTGCCATTTCCTTCTCCAGCGTATCTTCCTGACCCAGGATCAAATTCGAGTCTCCTGCATTGCAGGCAGATTCTGTACCATCTGAGCTAGCAGGGAAGCCCTTTTGTTGCTGAGTGTTACTCTGTTGTGTGTGTGTTTATATATACACACACACACCACAGTTCCTTATGAATTCATCTGTCGATGACACTTAGGTTATTTATGTTTCTTGGCAATGGTAAATAATACTGATGAGAACACTGGGGTGCATATCATTTTGAAATTGTGGTTTTTTTTTTTTTTTTTAGATATATACCTAGGCGTAGAAATGTTGATTCATACATTAGTTCTATTTTTAGTTTTTTAAAAAACCTCCATAGTTTTTAGTTTTGCAGAGTGGCTGCACCAATTTACATTCCCACCAGGAGTGTATAGAATTTCCTTTTCTCCACATCTTTGCCAGCATTTGTTATTTTTGGTCTTTTAGATAATAGCCATCCTGACAGGAGTAAGTGATACCTCATTGTAGTTTTTATTTGCATTTCCCTGATGATTAGCAGTGTTGAGTATCTTCATGTGTCTGTTGGACATCTCTATGTCTTCTTTGGAAAAAATTCTCTTCTGTTCTTCTGTGCATTTTTACTGTTTTTGTTTGTTTGTTTTTGATGTTGAGTTGTATGAGCTGTTTGTGTATTTTAGATACTTACACCTTATGAATCATATCATTTGCAAATATTTTTTTCCCATTAAGTAGACTCTTGGTTTTCTGATAGTTTCCTTTGTTATGAAAAAGCTTTTAAGTTTAATTAGGTCCTGTTTATTTTTGCTTTTATCTTCTTTGCTTTAGGAGATAGATACAAAAAAAGATTATTGCCATGATTTATGTCAAAGAGTGTTCTGTGTATGCTTTCCTTTAGAAGTTTTATGGTATCTGGTCTTACATTCAGGTCTTTAACCCATTTGAGTTTATATTTGTGTATGGTTTTAGAGAATGCTCTAAATTCATTCTTTTACATATAGCACCACTTATTCAAGAGACTTGTCTTTTTTCTGTTGTGTATTTTTGCCTCCTCTGTCATAGATTAATTGCCCATAAGTATGTGGGCTTATTTCTGGGCTCTCTATTACGTTCTGTTAATCTGTGTGTCTGTTTTTATGCCAGTGCCATACTGTTTTGATTAACTGTAGCTTTGCAATGTAGTCTGAAATCAGGGAGCATGATTCCTACAGCTCTGTTACTCTTAAGATTGTTTTGGTTATTCATGTGTTTCCATACAAATTTTAAAATTGTTCTAGTTCTGTGAAAAATGCAGTTGGTATTTTGATAGGGATTGCCTTGAGTCTGTAGATTGCATTGAGTAGTATGGTTATTTTAACAACAATAATTCTTCTAACCCAATAATATTGTTATCTTTCCATCTGTTTGTGTTGTCTTCAGTTTCTTTCATCAGCATCTTATGTATAATTTTCTGAGTACATTTACCTCCTTAGGTAGACGTATTCCTAGGGATTTTATTCTTTTCTTATTTTTAAAAAATTTCCTTCTAGAAGCAAATAAAATAGGAAATCCCCCCTTTTGAAAATTCCCATTGGGGAATGAATAAATGAAAGAATAGATGCCATTTGCATGATTGACACTTGGAAAAAATCATTTGTAGGTGTTGACTCCCTGGAAGAGCAGAAAATCTGAGGAGAAACTGTAGTGCTTTCTCAAATCAAGGACCTTGTGACCAGGCTTTCTCTGTGAGTGTTGTTATCCTCAGGAGGGATTTCTGTGCCTATAAAATAGTAAGTGGAAGACAATCTTAGGAAGATGTGCACACCCTGTGAAGGAGGCAAAAGAAGCTTATCTGTGGAGCCATGTGTTGTTAACCCTTCAATTCATTAGCTTTTTGAGGAAATGTAGAGGAAGGTTTTACTTACTTTTTTCTCTCATGTTAAGATAGTTTGAAACTTGAATATGACAGAATAATGATACA